CTACAACCAGGTGACAGGGTTCTTGTTCGCAACGTTGCAGAAAGGGGAGGTCCATGCAAACTGAAACCCTATTGGGAGAAAACTATCTACATTGTCAGAGAGCAGGTTGGTGACAACCCAGTTTATAAGGTCAGCCCTGAAAACAGAGGTCACCATACTCGCACCCTCCACAGAAATTTGTTGCTTCAAGTTAATGATCTACCAGCAGACATTACAGATGATCGCATGCCTGATAGACCACCAAGGGCAAAAGGAAAGTCAAATCAGCCACGGGAAACGGTCGACCAAATAGAGGCTGGTGATGTAAGTGGATCTGAAACGGATGAGGAGGCACCTTGTTACTGGCTGCGGGTACCCAGAGAATCATTAAGGACCAATCGGGACATTCCTAATCAGGTCCCAGTGAGCGGGTCATTGGTTAGTCCTGAGACACCTGGTGACATGCAGGGTGGCGATGTTCCTATGGGATCAGAGTTTGACCGAGTGAGTGTAGGAGAGATGGAGCAGGAGAGAGAGAATGACATTTCGCCCCCTGTGGAGGAACCAGAGTTTGGCGAAGAGCAGCTGGCGCCCCAGACCAATGACTCCAGTGAAAACACTCAAGGGTCTCAACCTGGACCTCAGCCCGTACTAAGGAGATCTACAAGGCAGAGGAGACCTGGCCAGATACTGACCTATTCTTCCCTTGGCCAGCCAACGTATCAGCCACGTCTTGCTGTTAGTTCTGTGGGTGTAGAGCCAGTGTTCTATATGCACCAGTGTCCACAATCGTACTGGCATTCAGTCCAACCCATCCATATTATGCCTGGTGTACACTCCGCTGTCACTTACCCGATCTGCTGCTGAGTTTAAGACGAGCATAGGACCTTGGGTACATATAGTGTTGGGTATTCAGAAAATGTAGAAAATCATTGCACACCCATATGTATTTGTAATTTGTGAGTATATTGAGTGAAGAGTTAAAGTTTGATTCAGAGTTAATGGAAGTTTACACTGTTAATTGCAAGTGTCGGGAGCCACTTTTGGTTTGTAGGGGAGTGTGTGGCACACCCAAAATGCATGGCCACTTTTGTGTTAATCATTTAATTTAATTTATTTAATTTGTTTATCAGTTATTTTCTGTGGCTATTAATATCCAAAATGACTTTGACAACATGACCAACCTAACCAGTGCATTATTTTGTCACATAAACTGTATAGAAGGTACAAAGAAATGGAGCAACACCCCAGGTTGAACTATTATTCCAAGACAGGTGCAACCCGGTTTCTTTAGGGGGATGGACTTCCGCCCACGAGTCAGATGCAATCTGAGAGGCAAACCGAGTGCACTGTCTTCATTGCTCCTGAACTTTACCTGTGTTTGCAGGTTGGTACCTGGTAAAGAAATACTACTACTGTTTGTACATAACAATGTTTTATCTCCATGTTAACTTGTGAAGAAGTAGAACAGTACCTGTAACACTTATGGGTACTGCCGCGCGGTCGACTCGCATCAGTGTGAGACAGCGGCGTCAGGCTGCGCAGGCCACTAGCAGAAACGGCGCGGTAATGTTTTGTATTGTGGGTCGTTAGCGCCCAGAGCATTGTCTTGTAGGAAGGTCATTCATATCGATTTCTTTTCATTATGAAGGTTGGTACTCCCGCACACTTTACTATTTTATATAAACCTTTGATACAAAGATGTTTTATTGTTAAGTGTCATTGAGGTTTGAAAAGTATATAGCTGTTTAATATGTGAGTGTTAATGACATGTGAAGTAGAAAGAAGTTGTCCATGTTATGCAAAAGTGAATTTCATCCTCAGTGTGCTGTAAATGTGTGTCTAATTCTGCTCAATTTCAGTATTCAGAATCTGTACAGTCGTATATTGCTGTAAATTCATTGTAGATTACAGTGGCTTCCAACTACTTAAGTAAGAGCAGGTGTGTACTTTTGTTTTGCTTAGACTGAGCGATCGCATGAAGTACATGTAAAATAGTGGAACGTGTAGAGTGTGAATTCATTTATTTTTCTACTTGTGACTTTGGGGAAATGGACAGATATGGACACTGGGACTGAAAAAGTCATGCACACGTGGATATTGTTAATGCTGTTCATGTTTGTTGAAACTTGAATAAGAGATGCAATCTGAGAGGCAAACCGAGTGCACTGTCTTCATTGCTCCTGAACTTTACCTGTGTTTGCAGGGATTTCTTCTTTGTTATTGTGGCACCATTCCTGGGGCCCGTAACATGTGGTTTAAAAGATGCTCACAGACAAACATGAACTTGTTCAGAAACATTGTGCAAAATTGTGACATTTCTGTATCTAACTAAAACTGGTTGTGTAACACTAACAGGTTTTGGCAGCTCATAGCTACACAGCAGTCCTATAAATGTTCTTTTCCCGGCTTATATTTTTCAGGTTTTCAGATTTTTTGTGTGTCAGACACCTCTGGCATTTGTATGATTTTTAAAATGGGCAGCCACACAAGATCGAAACGACCCTTTAAATTTATTTAAATCATCGTGTTGAGCAATGACCTCACTGACGCAGAGAAAAGTATTTCCTGGATTGGAGGGGAAAGAGCACAGAGGGCCTTCTCGGGCTCACAACACAGCGTTACTGCAGTAACAGCATGGGTAATAGAGTCACAGGACTGTGGATTAAATGGGTTCAGGATGGACAGTGGGAGTAGCTGGCAGCTAACATCCACCCACACGCCAGGAGTTGGGAGGGTGTCATCTATGATTCTTTTCTGAATAATGGGAATTGAGGCCATAAAGTGTATCTAAGAGAACAAAATAAACTCATTTCTAACCAGGGGACCTCAGCCTCAGCCACGTCATCCTCAAATCCACCCTCTGATCACATCATTACATATCTCCGGACACCCTCATCACCACCAAACTGAACAAACATTCCTCGGTTTTCATTTCAACGCCAAAGCCAAGCACACAAGAGAGCAGATTCAACAAAATTTTTAAAAAGGCCAAACAAGTCCCTCGGCTTCACCCGTTTAAACATTTCCCCCCATGCTTTCAGTTTATTTGAACAGGACACACTAAAGCAGCTACAAGACCTGCAGTTCAAACATGGAATTTGGTGTCTAATGAAGTCAACAGAGATATCATCTCACGACACAGTTTTTATTTCATCTCCTCTCCATGCTGTCCTCCTTCCAAGACGAAAAGTCTTCCAGATTGCTTCCATCGGAGCTTGGAGGAGTAGTTTGTATGATTCTGAGGATTTGGTTAGAGCTGCAAAGAAAAGAGTGGAGTTTCAATGTTAAATTCAGGGTCATGGAGGTAGTATATCACGTAATATTATTCAAAAGTGATCAGACTGTGGGCTCAGTTCCAGTGGTTGGATGTACAAATTCAGGCACTTGGACCCTCTTTTTATGATTTGTCATGTTCTTTCTATGCAATGGAAAATATTGCAGTGCTTATTGCTCATTAAAAAATGGATGGTTTCCTCACGTCTCCAACTAATATTTATCATATACACAACACATTTATTAGACTACCCCCCAATGTAATGTTCATACATTAAAAATTAACAGCATTTATATGTTTCTCTAATAGGTAATTCACCAGTATGTGCAAGCTATTTAATCAAAGTGATATTTTTAAGGCTAAAGTGTCTGGATTTTTACTTGTTACAGATTAGCTTCACATAAAGGCTCTGAATTTTTCCATCACCAGTAAAATCATCTGTGTCTTTTATCTGCTGTTTGCCCAGACCAGGGGTGCCCAATCCCGGTCCTCGAGAGCTACCGTCCTGCAGCTTTTAGATGCATCCTTGTTCCCACACACCAGAATCAAATGAATGGCTTGTTATCAGGCCTTTGCCAAACATGATGGCATGCTGAAGAGGTAATCAAACCATTTGATTCAGCTGTGTTGGAGTAGGGATGCATCTAAAAGCTGCAGGATAGTAGCTCTTGAGGACTGGGATTGGGCAGCCCTGGCCCAGACTTTTCCTTATCTTCTTTTTTCAAGGTAGATGTAAGTCAGGCGGTCGAGAAGCTAGCTTATCAATCAGAAGGTTGGTGGATCAATTTCTGACTCCTTTAGTGCACATGCTAAAGCATCCTTGGGCAAGATGCTGAACCCTAAGTTGCCCTGATGCATCCACCACAGTGTGTCCATGTTAGAAAGCACTCAGACATAGATTGTATAGTATTGTGTGATTGGGTGAATAACACTTGTAGTAAAAACTGCTTTGAGTGTTTTAGAACTAGTCCACTTACGTCTATAAGACCAAAAGTGCTGTTGTAACCACAGCCATTGCTCCCTTTGAGGCCATTGAAAAGAATGCAGGCACTTTTGTTTTGGCTACACGTTTCAGACCCATCTATAATTATTAATAAAGGTTTTTATTTATTTTTTTAAACAAAGGTTTAAGCAAAGTCATCAACATTTGTAAGCATTGTAAACAAAAGATTAAAAAAAAGGTATTGCAGCAATGTAATGTGTTTTCTGAACATGCGACTGTGTAAACCTTCTAGACAAAGCACAAAATAAATACAAGCCTGCAAATGAGCACAACATGGTGAGTTTTCCTTTCATACATAAAATTGTTTGACCGTTGCGGTGCACCAAACTGTAAATAAGAGTACTGTATTTTTAAAAGAGTAAATGGTGAGCATCTGGAATGCTTTACCTCCTTCATAACCTCTCCTCCTCTGCCCTTCATCTGATCCTCTTCTGTTTTAACTCATGGACAAAGGAAGACGATTAAGCTGACAGAACCGTTTTATATCAGACCCAAATAGGTTCATCTAATGCCCATGAATGTGTCATTTTTTGTTGTGTCAGTGAGTTATATTTATGCACAATGGCTGATCATGTGTCCTTATTTGTGTGTGTGTGTGTGTGTGTGTGTGTGTGTGTGTGTGTGTGTGTGTGTGTGTGTGTGTAAAACACACACACACACACACACACACACACACACACAGGAAGTGAGTAAAACTTCTGAACTTCTTTGTCAAACCACTTCCTTGTACACTCATTTGCACTGGCTGCATTAAAGCGTCAACTGTCACTCTTCTCCCAGCTGGTAAGTTTCTCTAAATGTAGGCAGTTTAAGTTGCCTGATATTTACTGCATCTTGTTTATTTTTATTTTTATACAGTTCTGTAGTACGTAACTTTTGAGGCATGTAACTTTTACTTTTAATCGTATCCAAATGGCCTTCAAGATTCCTCCTGAGTCTTGCCATATACCTTTAAAAATCAGAAGCTGGCCATTTTGAGCTGCCGTACTTCATACATTGTACACTGTGAGTTGATTCTGGTTCTGTTTGGGCAGAAGTCTAGTTGCATGAGTAAATTTGTAAATCCTTATTTGTACGGATGTTCTTGAGCTTTCAAAGACTCAACCTAATTCAAGATAGGTTGAGACAAGATACAAAGCAAAAGAAAAAACTTTGGATTGTAACACTGAAACTGGAAGAGGAAGAAATAAAGGTTAAACAGAAGGTCATTGTAGGCATCGGCTCTTTTTTTTAACCAGTAATTTGCATCTCTGACCTGCCTTTGTGCTGTTAGCGTGGGCGCTAGAGAGAGTAGGCGAGGTGTGTTAGTGTAATCAAATTAGGGACTCACAGGATTGTGTAACACAGCAATCACAGGCCCAAATGTTCCTGTCTCCATGTGGAGGTCCAAGTCATATTGCCAAGAGAAAAACATTTTTTGTTTTAGCTGCAATTTACTCCACATCTGCACTTCATTCCCAGTCTCAACCTCATCTTTGGGCTCTGTCCATTTTGAACAGAGGATGGTGGTCAAATTAATGGGTAATGACAGGATAATGGTGTGACACACCATATTAAATGTGCAATATGTATGCCAGTAAAGTAAAAATCATTTTACATTGTGGCTACATGAGGAAAACAATGGGAAGGAGAAAATTATTGTTTTTAATTTATATTTACATTCAAGAGGTAAACGATCCTCTAAAAGCTGCAACTGAACCAGCCAGCCTAGAAGGCCAATAATGCCAATTCTGACATTCACAGCCAGATTCAGAGACCGTAAGCTAATAATAACACAATAACTGTGATGAAACTAAAGTTAAGGAAGTCGTTCACGGTACTAATTTTAGTTCCACATTTCTGACTCATTATTACAATTCAACTAGAACCGAGGATTGGTTCAAAATTCTTATTTTTATTAGTTTAGAAAATACAGTTTTATGCCATTAATGCATTTCTGTACTAGCAAAGTAAAGCTGTGTTGAGAGGAGTAACTATATCGTTAGCCCCCTCTCTTTATTTTTGTCTTCCATCTTGCCTAATCTGTTTTGTAGTTCCTCATTCAGAAAGCAAACTAAAACAACAACAAAGTCTCTGCCAAAAAACACCAGAATTGGTACTTCGTGAGGAATGGTTGCAAGGTATTATTTTCAGTAGTTTAGATGAGAACATTTGATTGCAATTATGTTAGCAAGTGCTAACAAATTCAGTAACACACTGTGGGCTTTGCGAGAGAGAAGACATACTTAAAATACAGGTCTATAGATCTGTTGGTTACCATCTGAAAACAACCATTTGAAAAAAAGAAATAAGTATTCAACAGGTCTGTAAACACTTGCAAACTATTCCCAAAGCTGTAGTTAAACAGTAAAAAGTAAGACATGAACCAGAAACTTTTCATATTTTGAAATGTGATTGTTACACTGGTAAGGCACAAATGTTATTTTCAAGGTGAATGTTCATCATGTCTGGTTTCCATTGCGCTTTTTCAAGTTTCAGTACAGCTCACAGAGCTAGTTTCCAAGTCTGTCTTGTGTTTGCAGAAAAGTCATCTTACGTGTAAACTGCAGAAACTTTCGAGCTACCAAAGCAAACAAAAGCAGGTGTCAAGTGCAGCACCCTCTTTACAGTCGATGTCATCCAGAGACTCCCATTAACAATTTGCCAACTGAGATTACACATTTTCCCATAGCAACCATAGGTTGCCACAGACTTACGAACCAGTCTCCAGGCCTACAACTGAGACCTTAAATAAGCTAATCTCATCTGCTTTCTAATCCCAATAAACAACCAAATTAACACAGAGCAAGGACTGATAGAAGATATTATTTTCAGCGGCTATAACTGCTGTTTGAAGGTATTAATGTCTTTGTAATCTAGTTAGATCAAGCTATACCGAAAGCAGTTTAATCTGCTTTGTAATTTCTGAGTCAAAAGGAATACTTAGCAACTATCCATCCATCCATCCATCCATTTGCTTCCGCTTATCCTTTTCAGGGTCGCGCGGGATGCTGGAGCCTATCCCAGCTGTCATAGGGCGAGAGGCGGGGTACACCCTGGACAGGTCGCCAGTCTGTCGCAGGGCAACTAGGAAGTATTAAAATAAGATGCATTTTAAATAAGTGTCTTTTTATCTTTCTATGCCAGCCTAAACATACCTTGAAACACAACCTAACTAGTACTCAGTGATAAGTAGTTAAAAGGTGTTATCCCCCCAGTATTTTAGATGAAATAATTTGATGGAAGTAATTAATTAGTCAGCCAAAGTTACACTAATACTAATAAAGCACAGGGAGCAATTCGCACATCTCACATCCCTTTGAAGCTCACAGGTTGTTGTTAGTGGTCATTTCAAGCTTCACTTCAGTTCAGTGTATTTACTGTCCAATCATAGGCCAGTCACCAGTGTCCTATGCTCCTGTTGGTAATTGCTTCAATCGCTCGTCTTGAAGTTAAAAAAGTGTATCTCCACCTACTTCACATTGTCAGCAGTTTTTTTCACCCATAAGTACTGAAATTCATTGACTTTCTCTGGTGTCTGGTCACAACGTTGCTGTGGTTGCTCCCTATATGGATGCAGCTTAACGCCTATTAAGTTAACCAGAATTTCACACCATGTGGTCATAGGCCTACTACACTAAGTGACACACTGTGGTGACACACATCTCACAATGTGTCACATTGTTTTTGTAGTTTCTGAGTCAAGAAGCATACTAATAGTAAGGTATGTTTAAAATAAGATGTAACTTTAACAATAAGGGCAAATCCCATTACACAAGCCTGTTTGTGCTCTCAAATGTCATGAGTAATGTTTATGTAAAAGGCCACATTTTGCCAAGAATTACATCAGAAGATCAATAGCTCATCTGCTCGCAGCCAGACAAATAAGAAAGAAAAACATTCCCCTATAACCCCCATAAAAAATAAAACATGCTGTTCTTAATTGTCATATTTTGAGAGATTTAAACAAATAACACATAAAGTTAATGATAAGCTTTAGAGATGGTGCCAGGCAGACTTTTATTACCACCACAGTGTTTGGATGTTGTTGGATGTTGTTGGTAATTATCTTCTTTGAACTCTCAAAAAGAGGAAATAAAGAAAGGCTTAGTGTCTTTTACAATATTAAACTATTAATTTAACATAAGAGGAATTAGTAAAACAAAACAGGCTGCCTGAAATTTATTCAATCTGACTCTTTAGAACAGTGGCAGCTGCAGGACATTTTATGCTATTTAATCTCAATAATGCACACTCGGAGCCTCGAAATGAAGCTGGACTTGAAAAACAAAGACCTTCTAGAAAATTATTACGCCTGTCAAAAGCTATCATCATTTGCTCTCCGGGTAACAAACCTTTCTCCATTTCTGTACAAATTGTGCATCAGCTGTCGGGCGAGTTGGTGCTACTTGAGACCAACAGAGTGTTTCGTGCTAATCTAATAGCAAACCGAACTTCCTGGTTGTCACATCCTGGCTGGCTGACAGCTCATATGGTGACAGGCTGTGGTTGAGGCCTTAATCTTACTTTCCATCTCATTCTGCAAGGGGACTTCCTCTATTATTTCTGTCTCGTTATTCTTTCTCTATGCTCTCCTTGCTAGACTTTCTTGTTTGATTTTTCTTGTACTTGTAGCATTCTTGTAATCTCATTTTATTTCTTGTCTAATCTGAAACAGCTGAGGGATAAGAAAAATGTTTCTTTGGGGGATGAAAGGAGAAAGCATACACCAAGGGAAATATTGACATCGTACTTAGCTTACACTGAGCACGCTGGCAAGTAATATTCAAATAAAAGTGCAAAAATAAACTAATTTTCCAAACAAGCAGTCCAAACCAGAGGTTATTTTTCTTTGCTTTCCATTACCTTCTGTAGCTGAAAAGAAGCTGCAGGAAAATCAATATCCCCTGCACTTTCACGGAGATTATTGTTTTTATCCACACAGGATCCAATGAAGACAGAAAGTGCAGATTCGAGGATGCCAGAGCCCCCTCCACAAGACCCTGGTATTCCCGAAGGCCTCAAAACAAGCCCCCTAAACACAGAGGCTCTCGGGGAGTTTGCCCAAAACATGTCAGAGCACATACTTCGATCAGTTTTTAGCCAAAAGGAAACAGTAGAACCTGAGGAGTCCATTTATAACCAAGAGCACGAAATGCTAGCTGAGGCGCTAGCATCCGCAGTGATTGAGATCGCTCTGAGTGAAGTGTGTAGAGGAAGAAACTTAAAGGACCACATGGAGGGTGCTGAAATAGAGATGGAGAACAACAAGGGTGAACACCAGTGTTTTGAGGATAAATCTAGAAGAGACCAAGAACACCAGACTTCTACCCAGCCTTGCCATCCACCTCTATCCCAGTCAGGGCTTCCCGCTGTGGGATCCCTCGACTACCCCGACGCCCCACCGACCACGCCTCTTCTCCCAGAGCTGGAGAGGAGCAGAAGCAGCTTTGCCCGTAAGCTAAAAGGAGGCCTGGCAAAGGTTTTCCTACCCTCGCCTCCTCCACCAACGCCAAAGGACAAGGAGGACAACGGAGACGCTTTGATCAGCGACCCTCATGTGGAACTGATGGAGCATCTCATGCAGTCGCTGTCTACAGATGATTTGGGGAGAGGCAATTTCGAAGTAGCACCTCTGCATGAACCAACTATAGAGACTTTTGCACAGGCTCTGTCATGTGATATTACTAAGTGGGTTCTGGCTGCCAAAAAAAGAGAACAGATGTCACATGACAGTGATCTCAACCTACTGGCCCAACAGCTGGCTGAAACCATTATCACGTCCTCCATTGATGAAGCTAAAGTGCTTATCTAGGATTTAAAGTGATTCATGGAGTCAGGTATGATGAATAGCCTATATATATGCACACACAAGCTCAGTCCATGGACTATATATACATAAAAGGTGGACATAGCCACCATAACACAATCAGTTTAATTGTCTTTTGTAGCTATCTTAGTGTTTTTAAGTCAGACACGAAAAGTGAACCACTTATTGGTTAACAGCTTATGAGTAACAAGTCATTAACCAATTAGCATTTCCTGGTTTATCCACCTTTCTGACTCAAATAATGATGACAGATTTACAAAGGAATTTCATACTCTGTACACTATGATGTAAAACTAGCAACTGAGCCTCAAAAAGTTACCAGGTATTCAGTGACATCAGAGAGTATGGAAGTACATCTATAATAGCAGAAGGCTTTTTAGAAACCTGAGTAATCGCCCCCTGTTGGGCATCAGAAAGAATGCAGGTAAAAGCAAGATAGATAGACTATCTCTAGCATATACTTCTGTCCTACTCCACATACTCCTTCGCTACACGATGACATGACAAAACATTCTGTTCTGCAGCACAGGGAGAGAAGATGCCTGCCACTTTGAGTTCTCTAAGCCACTAAAACACTGTGGATTGTGGACTATCTTTAGAGTTGGTCTATATATACCCTTTCTGTGCAGCTTTTGACTACAATCCTCAGCAAGTCCATAGTCCTACCCATTACCAAGCCAGTACTTCTCTGTTGGTCACTCTGTAGACTTAGAAGCTAAATCTATCATTTATATATAGTCTGTGGGGTCTGTTACTGTTATTTCCTCTAAAGTAGGCAATACACATTATCTTACTCCAAGATTTGGGAATTTCATTTGTTACAGGAGTTAATATGATTCATTTGCATTTGATTGTAATATTATATTAATGCTATTTATTAATGATAACATATTATTATGAGTTCAACTGTGTATTCGTTTGTGTTTCTTGTTCAGAAATGAACTTGTCATTGAGGTTAAGTGGCATTTCTGCATCCTGAAAACTGCTGGATGATAAGTAACTGTTACATTTCATGATGGATTAAAGTACACTGGATCTGACTTTTATTTCTTTCTTACAAAACAATACTTGGCTCCAAAAGCAATAACCACATTTGTCCTTCGGATGGCAGCACAGTAAAGAAATTTCAGCATTTTTCAGCATGAGCTCAGCAGTGCTGACCTACTTGGGACATGACAACAACTGGAATTAATTTTGTTTTCCATTTAGGAAATCATTTACTTTTAAATGGTGGTCACCTGTCAGTAAAATTGTTTTGTTTTGTTTGATTTTGCTTCTATGGTCAGGTCCTGCCAAAAGGGAAAGCCCTGCTAAATATAATGCAGAGTACAACGACTTGCAGACTGCTATATCTGTAACAGAAGATGAAACTGGACAGCAGATGTTCTGTAGATGAACTTGTATCACACTGGATTATAATCAGACATAACATTGGCAAATTGTTTGGTTAGTTTTCTTTGTAATCACCCTCAAAATCTTTATGTATCCAGCATGACTCATTCAGCCCGTACACTGAGCAACGATACTGGCATTTTGGACAAATTTGTGTTCTGGCTCAAAGAAAGCTCGTTTTCATACTCACTTCGTCCTTGATGTCAGACCTTGGAAGAACAAAAAGAAAAAAGAAAAAAAAACAGGGCGCCACAGGTCTTAACCAAACACTGATGCAATCCTGGAATCGAATAAAAACTCTGTTTTCTTTTTAAATCAGTAACTACTTAAACACAGTTGGAGATTGACAAATTTACTGCAAGAAAATCTTTGCTGAACTTTTAAAGTGCTGTTTTGAATAAAGAGTCTCATTGTTCCTCTTAGTCACCGCTGTTTGAGTTCACACACTTTTTTGGTTCAAGAAACTAGGTAAGTGGGACACACAAACAGACTCAGACCCCCTTCCGCCCTCCCTTTTATTTTGCACAAACACAAAACACACACACAAAAGCCCCACCATACAATAAACAACCCAAACATGTGCAGATGATATGAAGCATATTTCTCTCTTTCCACTAAAAAAACCCCAATTAGGTCTGTATGTTAATACTTACAGACTTGTCTGGATGAGGTATAAACATATTAACAAAGAGTTCGAGCACAAATTACTAACATACAGCAGACATAAGACTTAGTGCTTTTATCATTTTCAGTCAACACTAGTAAGAAGGCAGTCAGTCGCTTCTGTGACGATGGAAATATTTGAAAACCAGTACGTCTTCATTCCTGGCAAGTCATAGTCTGCTCTTATTTTCAAATACAATGCCCTCTCTCAGACATGCACGAGGTGTCCTTTTTCCATCAGTGCCATGTTGTCTCAACAGTGAGAGAGGTCTCCCTCCCAACTTATACATTATTCTACAGATGTCATGATCCTTGTGTTTTGTTGGGTTCTTTTGTTGATTTTCTGGTAATAATGGAGTTTTAGTTATGGAGTTACTTAAGAGAATGGAACACATTGTCATTGTACATGTACAATGAACTTGTGAGTGCTCCACACCAACTATGCTAGAATAAAATATAAATAGTAGACAGCAGGAATAAATAGCAAGCAGAATAAATATATATGATGAAGAGGGATAGATACAAAACAAGAGAAATATATACAAAGAAAAAAAAGCCTTGGTCTGAGTGGAGTCTGTGTGTGAGTGATGAGGGTTACTCAGACTATGCCTCAGATGAGTGAGGTGGGTGGGCAGTTGTAGGGTGTGGGGGTTAGTGTTTGTTAATAGTCTTAATGGCGTACGGGAAGAAGCTGTTTGTGACTCTGGAGGTGTCCTTTCACTCTAGTATTCAGAGTCTACTTAGAAGAATTACTATGTTTTGACATTATTTATTGTTATATTTATTAATTTATCCTCTTCTTTTAAGTCATCATCTCTGTGTTGTTTCCTTGTTATGTTACTTGCTGTTTTATTTTGATAATCCTTTGTCTCACAGATCTTTATTTTAGTTATATTTCCCTTGTCTCATCACTTTATTTAATGAAGCCGCGTCTAGTTTCCCAGGTGTCTCCACTCTCAGCCTCAGTTTTGTCAGGTTGGGTGTTTTCACGCAAAGAAAAGTCAAAGTGAACTCCAAGCAAACTAAAATGCAGCTCTACAAACCACGTGAGAATGTTCAGCCTGCTAATTGGCCAGATGTGTCTGGGGCAGGAGCAACAAAAGTAAATAGAGGAAGAAGGTGCTGTGTTCTGGGCTATTGGAAAACACAGAGAACTTACCTTTATTTCATGGCTAGCTGCTAGCCTTTACAGATTATTACACATCTGTAATAGCGTCCAACAGTGAGAATACAAAGCATTCTAGGCTTGTAACATACAGTAATTAGTTTGGATTGGGGTCGGATCACATTCACACCACAAAAGTGATATTTTGGCAAGTGTGAAAGCACACTTTGGTATGCTTTGTGTGCTATATGTGTTTGTAAAGACTTTTGGAAACAGGAATTTATTTCCTGTTTTGGAATGTGACTTTCTTGGTCCCCTGTACTGAACTTTCTTAAAGTCCTTTTTTTTGGTGTCATTCTTCAAGTCTGTTTTGTGAGTCCTACATTTGGGGCCTTTTGTCCAGAAATCATAAGAGTAGAAAACATTTTTTCCTGTGAAGGGGTATTTTTTAACCAGCGATGGGCACCTAAAGTCTCAAAAGTTTAAAGCTTTACTTCTGTTTTTGGCAAAAAAGATCCAAAGTTTTGAGGCAAAGAACAACATCTGGTGGCAAAATGAAGGCAAAGCAACCTCCAGAGCACAACTGAACCACAAGCATACCTTATTGTTTCAATCTCAGATCATGAATAAAAGCTCTGAAAAGACTAATGAATGCATCACTATTATGCATTAAAAAAATAATTATCTGTTGTAACTTTCATTTCTGGTAAAATGTCAGTCTGTAAATGTACATTGTCGTGCATCTGGAGGAATCCGAGACCAACCACCGTAGGGTCTGACAATGGGTCCAAAAATTTGTCTTTAAACATGTCAGTCATCAAGGTACAAAAAAATCAAATCAAAAAATCAAAGTTGATTCTTTACTGTCCCAGAATCAACTATATGGGTCATCCAGATAACTGATGGCAGTCAAGGTGCAGTTGCCTAGAACTGTAGAATCTCATCTGTGAAATGCACAGGGTGCCAGTGTTGGACCTGCCAATTTTAGTATTCAATAGCAAATGTCAAATGGGCTCCGTGGTACCAAGCAGTGAGCAGCAGAGGATGACAGGCCCTCAGACAACCTCGTGTTCCTGTTTTGGTCAGAGACATTCTCACCATTGGCCTACTGGAGGTCATTTTGTAGGGCTCTGGCAGTGCTCATCCTGTTCCTCCTTGCACAAAGGAGTAGATACTTGTCCTGCTAATGGGTTAAGGGGCTTCTACAGGCCTGTCCAACACTCATAGAGTAAATGCCTGTCTCCTGGAATCTCCTCTCAGATATGATGCTATACTCTGATTTGAACTTTTTTGAGCAGTGTATTTTTATCTTCCAAAGAAAATGTTTTTGGTATGAGTTACAAATTTTTGTCAGGGCAAGCAAAACAGCAGTGCTTACTAGAGCAGGGCGATATGACCAAAAATATTTATCACGATACACATTTGAAAATTTGCAATAACGATATAACTGACGATATAAATGACACTAGACAAAATACTCCTCAACTTTATTAGTGCAAAAAAAACAAAACAAACAACCATCAATGTATTTTCACTTAAACAAGCAGCTTTTTTATGTGCGTTAAAGTTATATAAAAACGTAACAGTGCAAATTCCTTGCTGACAGTTTAACCAAAAGGCATTTCCAGTGGAAATTGGCTGACATATCCTCAGCATAACCATGTATAATATCTACAAAACTTAAAAAGAGGTAATACACACACAATACGGTAATATTATGTTGAAGCACAGTACGTATCACTCCGCGAGGCGCCTGCCTACGATAGCCGTAATGCTCCGACAATCCATCAAGCGGTGCGGCTTCGTAGCTTAGCAAAGTTGTACTAAAACATTTGACAGATTTTTGAGCACCATGTACCACATAAAATCATTTCGAGGTCAGTAAACACAACCAGAATTCATACATAAGGCACACGGGATTATAAGGGGCACTGTCGATTTTCAGAAAAATAAAAGGATTGATTTTAAGTGTGCCGTATTTTCCAAACAACACGGTAATAACGACGGCCCGCTAGCATGCTCTACCAAAAATAGTGCTCTGTTGTGTATCTGACGGACGAAAGCTAGACCAGTTCCACACCAGTGAAGTTGCAGCATTTTTACAAACCAATTCTGGTTCATCTGTTTCATTCAACGATCCGCTTTCGCTCTTCTCATTCTGCGTCGCCGCCATGTGCGTATGTAAACAAAGGCACTGCGCATGCGCGTTTTACCCATATTCTATCGCGATATTTCCTTTTCTTATCGTTGCCCAACATTACACCAGTATTACCGTGAACGGTATGATACAGCCCAGCCCTAGTGCTTACCCGTTTAAAAATAGACATCGATTAAAACCTACCAAAGCTCTTTCCCTGCATGTCAAACAGCACTCTCTTATAAACCTGTTTGTATGCATTTAAACTCAGAGGTGTGGACTCGAGTCACATGACTTGGACTCGAGTCAGACTCGAGTCATTCATTTTATGACTTTAAACTTGACTTGAAAAAATGTTCTAAGACTTGTGACTTGATTTGGACTTTTACACTAATGACCTGGGACTTGAATTGGACTTGAACCGGTTTACTTGAAAAGACTTGATATTTCACCCCAAATATAAAATTTAACATGCATATTGTATAGAAAGTGTGCATCATGTATTCAAACCACACGCCGTACGTATGTGTGTGTGAACTGTAGCACAGCCAATCAAATTAACCAGATTTTTTTTTAAAAGAAAAAAAAAACGCTTAAAAATTTTATTTTTTTCAGGTACATAAACTATGAAGTAGTCAACAAAAAACCGAAATGCAATATGCAAAACATGCAAGAAGAGAATCACAGACAGATATGGAACAACTTCCAACTTTCTCCGACAGTTGAAGTTACATAAAGAACAGGAGGTGGTGCTTCTCTTTTGCTACGATGAGATAGCTGACTTCATCTAACTAGCAAATGTTGTCCAGGCTCCGTTGGTGATACAGTTTTTTTTAATGTGTATGATATTTTTGTCATGCTATTTTAAAGCCGGTCCTACAAGCGCATCCAAGAATAACATGCAGCTTATCTCAGAACTGTCGGTGAAAATTATTCTTGGAGCTAGGTTTAATTGAGCTGCATTTTATAGAGGTGCAACTTCACAATTTGTGTATATTTTCTAAGTTCACTATTTTGTCATGTGTTGAGAAAAACACAGATTTTAAAATTACATGGTCTAATATTTACATTTAGCATAACTGCAACATTCTTTTTTCATTTTTTTTAAAGACTCGAAAGGACTTGAAATTCAAAGTTTCAGACTTGTGACTTTACTTGGACTTTTACACCAGTGACTTGAGACTCGACTCTGACTTGCCTGACATTACTTGAGATTTGACTTGTGACTTGAGGATAAAGACTTGAGACTTGAGGATAAAGACTTGAGACTTGAGGATAAAGACTTGAGACTTACTTGAGACTTGAGGATAAAGACTTGAGACTTACCTGAGACTTGAGGATAAAGACTTGAGACTTACCTGAGACTTGTGGATAAAGACTTGAGACTTACCTGAGACTTGAAGATAAAGACTTGAGACTTACTTGAGACTTGAGGATAAAGACTTGAGACTTACTTGAGACTTGAGGATAAAGACTTGAGACTTACTTGAGACTTGCAAAACAATGACTT